TCTTCCCTCCAGGCTCCTTGGATCTCTGAGCCTGTCCCTCCTGAGGTGCTGTGGCCCAGTTCTTGTTTCTTACATTCTCCTTTTCCGGAAGAATTAGAGACTGTTGCTCCTGAATTTTAGTGTTTAATTCCCCAGCCCTCTCCACACACGGGGGGAGTTTAATTCTCCCTCCCATTACACCTGAGTCACTAGATTTCCTAATTCCCCAAAATGTGCTTTTGCGATGTCACAGATCTGGGGTAGCTAAGCTTTTGACCTGCCTCTGTGGTCTGCTCAAGGAATGCCCTGTCAGGTATCAGGTCTCTAGCCAGCACCTCTCTATGGGTTGGGACCCACATGCCTCTCTTTTTTGACCAGGGTTTGAGGATTGTAGCTTGTCCTCCACTGTGTTCACTGGACTAATGCCTAGTTCCTGTGCTTTGCTTTCTCTCCAAGGGCTATTAGCAGTGTGTGTGTGATAGAGGTGGGAATTTTTGTGAAACTTCTAAGATGCTAATACACACCTCAGTTTCCCTCTGAGACTGGTATTGCTATGTATCAGAGGGGTAGCCGTGTTAGTCTGGATCTGTAAAAAGCGACAGAGTCCTGTCGCACCTTATAAGCTTTCGTGGGTGAATACCCACTTCGTCAGATGAAACGAAGTGGGTCATCTGACGAAGTGTGTATTCACCCACGAAAGCTTATGCTCCAATACGTCTGTTAGTCTACAAGGTGCTACAGGACTCTTTGTCGCTTGATATTGCTATGATCATAAAGAGCAGTAGGTATTTTGTCACATAGCTGTTATGGGGTGATATGAATGGGTCATTAAGGACTGGCTGGGACCAAACTACATCATTGGTATACCCGACAGAGACAAGGGAATAATTGTCACCTGTCCATGGGAGGATCTCAGCTTGGCTGAGTGAAGCATACATGGACTCGTTCTGTTTTTGGGAGCAGGAAGAACTGGATTCGCAGACACAGGGAGCTCTATCAGGGTGAAGACAAATGGACAGTGAAAGGAAACCAAACTTTTTCCTACAGCAGCATGGCTTAAGGGCATTGGCCAGTATAGACTACATTGTCTTCTTTGTTTCTCTGTCCTAATCTAAGGACTTTCCAATGCTGTGTTTCGATTGACTAATAAACCCTGCTATGTTTTAAAAGCCTGCCCAGTGTCACAGCAAAAACTTGCTCCGTGCATTGAATGAGGAACAGTCTCTGAACAGGAGTGTCGTTCAGCTGGACCTGCTGGCAGAGCTCACAGGTTGAAATAAGAGTTGTCATAACTATAAAGGGAAGGGTAATAGCTGTCCTGTGTACAGTACTATAAAAATCCCTCCTGGCCAGAGACTCCACAATCCTTTTCCCTGTAAAGGGTTAAGAAGCTCAGGTAACCTGGCTGGCATCTGACCTAAAGGACCAATAGGGGGACAAAATACTTTCAAATCTTGGGGGGGAAGGCTGTTGTTTGTGTTCTTTGTTTGGGAGTGTGTTCGTTCTCGGGACTGAGAGGGACCAGACATCAATCCAGGTTCTCAACATCTTTCTAAGCAAGTCTCTCCTATTTCAAACTTGTAAGTAAATAGCCAGGCAAGGCGTGTTCGTTTTCCTTTGTTTTTCTGACTTAATATCTACTCCTATCACCTGAGTATTGAGCTGTAAGTTTTCCCTATGGTTCCTGATACT